CAGCTTTGACAGTTGGCTCTTACTAGCAGACAGATCTCTGGCAAAAAATTTTGGAGCCCTGGTTCCTCTCGATCGTTTCTTCAATACGAGCAGTATTAAAGTTGCGCAAGTCTCGCCGCATGCATTTGGAGATCTGTCCGTTCAGTTGCTTGTATGCTGTCAAATCTGTTGACGATTGCAGCCTCATTTCCCGTCTAACAGCCATGAGATTAAGAGTGTGATCGGAGAGTTTTTGTGTTCTGCGGCGGGTCTTACAGAACTTAGCTCCGACCGCATGGACAGTTTCCACGAGTTTGTCATTCATATCTTCCACTGCATTGCAATCTTCTAGGCACTGAAAGCGGTTACGTAACTCGTGCTGAAAGGTTTCGGGATTTTGGATTAGAGCACGAGGGGGACGGAGCGTTGACTTCATTAGACGAGACCTCTCCAACTTAACGTTTAGGTTCAATGTGCCTCTAACCATTCGGTGATCGCTGCCAGTTTTCACCCTTGCGATCACTGAGACATCACTGAACAGTTGGCGTCTGGTCGTCAACGTAATGAAGTCAATCTCATTTTTTGTCGAACCGTCAGGGCTCGACCAGGTCCACTTCCTGTGGGGCCGCTTCTGGAAGAAAGAGTTCATCATAAATAGTCCCTCTTTCTCCATAAAGTCGGCTAGCTGCTGGCCCTTACGGTTCCGTTGCCCTACGCCAAATTTCCCTAACTTCAGCTTACCGTTTTCTCTTGTGCCTAGTTTTGCGTTGAAATCTCTCATCAACATCGTGTAGTGGGTTTTGGAGGAATGCATGGCTCTGGAAATATCCTCATACATTTCCTCCACTTCCTCATCGGGATGTGCCGAGGTTGGTGCGTAAACCAGTATGACCTTCAGCGAATACCGTTTGGTAATTCTGAGTATCAGGTACGCGACCCTCGTCGACACACTACCAAGCTTTATAACGTTGTTGACAAGAGACTTGTGGACGACAAATCCAACACCTTCTTGGGACAGATGGTCGCCCCCCCGGTGATAGAACAAGTTGCCGGACTCGAGGATTACTGTATCCCCCCCCCCTCTCTTCGGACCTCGGATTATCGAATAATATGCCAGCGCAACTTGTCTACCTCTTCTTCCAGCTCTAGTATCTTCTCGTCAGTCCTCAATTTTAGTTACATTTTTATTAATTAATTTGTTTGAAAAAAAAATTAATTTACGAATTATTTAATCTATCAAATATAATATGATTAATGGGCACTAGCCCTACCCGTGTGTAAAATTAAAGTCACCATTGTAGCTGCACGTTGAATACGTCCCACTGCTGGGTACAGGCCTCCTCTTACTTCTGAGAGGGTTTAATGGCGAGGAAATGTCCGCCGCACTACTCCAATGCGTGTTGGCAAACTTAACATGTCTTCGAAATATTTTTTTTCTTATTTCACACACATGCAGAAATATATATTACCTTATATTTCCCACTACTTACATACACAACCATACATTACTCATATAAAAGTTAGTGAAAACAATATGTCACATATTATGGAGATATTAAAACTTTAGTGAAAAGCAATCAATCACATATAAATCTGTAGAAGGATTGTTGAAGTAGGCAGACAAAAACGTTCTGTAAAAACTACAATATCGTTATGTTCGACTATTATCGGATCAAGTCGCCTAAGGATCGCCTGATATAAATGAAAAAGCTTTTGTTCAGAATGCTGTGCATTTCATCATCATCTATGATTCATCTATGATTATAATATTTTGTTCAAATTTTTTTAGTGTATAGTTGTTTAGGATGTGATCGAACATGGTTACTGTGTGATCAAGCGATGTACAAAGCGATTGAACATAGATATGGGGCGGATTTGATATTTATTCATGTATGTGACGGTGTACGTATGCGATGGGGGCGTGCATTTGTGTTCTCATGCGTATGGTTACATTTGAATGCGTGAATTATCGGATTGTGAGTTTAGTACGATTTAGTTTACTGTTGGAGATTGTGTCCGTATGTTATGGTTGCGTGCTATAAGTTATTAATATATGTTATATTATTTAAAGTATTATTAATTTGTAAATGCACAACCGAGCACGTGATATATCAGCACATAAAATTGCAACTAACAATTTTATTGGCGTCGGCGGGAATCGAAGTTTGGTAACTTAAACGCAAGCAACATGCTGTGAAATTTACAATAAGTGTTTAGCTTTTAAGCTACCATAGGTATTTTTTTAAATTTATTACGTGCTCTACGAGATAAAATATTTAAAGGGCAAGTAAGTCCGTTAATACTCAATGGAGCAACGTTGCGGACTAATTGCACCGTAACCCTCTCAAAGACCTGAGTCTGATTTGTGGGGTTTATTTTACTTCTTTTTATAAATCAATAAATAATACTTTGAATAAAGTTCTAGAATGTTATTGCTACATGATTCACTACAAAAAACTTTCATTAAATACTTTTATCCATGAAATCCGTTTTATTTGCATTGTGTACCATTGATTATGGGTATGTTCCGAAATACAACTCACTACACTGGCAAATGCAAATGACGTCATCAATTGACACTATATTGAACTGGCGTGCCGCCGCCATATTGCGTCGGATATACGGCCACAATATTTATTTATTTATTTATGCTTTCATGCACAAAAAAGTACATATGGCGGACTTAATGCCATAGGGCATTCTCTCCCAGTCAACCATTAGGCTAAGCAGAGATAGACATTACGGAGGCGGTGCAGCAATAATCAAAAAAGAGAGGATAAAATAAATAATAATATATATAATAAACAATACATACATATTATATACACATATAATAAAACAATTTTTAATTGTGTGTGAGCTGAATGAAGCATGCCAGAATTTGTTTTTATTTATTCAAATACAAAAATATAGAATAATTGCTGGTATCTTCATTAGGAAGATATAATGATTTTTGGAGCACAAAATGACAAAATAATCGCCAACACTTTTCCAATATGGCGTAAATGTATGATGTCATATACTGTCCTATGTTTTGGAACGAATCACCAGTATAGCGTCGATTCATGACTTCATTCGCATTCGACAGTGTACTGGGTTGTATTTCGGAACATACCCTATGTTTACATGCGCTGTCTTTGTGAACGGTTACGTGCGTGTGCTAGTGCATGCGTGTGTGTGCAAGTGTATACGTGTCCAGTCGGGTGCGTGTGTGTTGAGTGTGACGGTGCGAGTGCATGCGTGTGTGTGCGTGCGTACGTACCGTCAGAGCCGGGCGGCAGCGGCAGCAGCGGGTGTGCGGACACGCTCGCGTTGAGCGCGGTGGCGCGCGGCGCGCCCGCCCGCCACGCGCGAAACGACCCCGACCTGCGGCATCGGGCAGAGGATGGTGACTACCCACCAGCTTCCCGCTTCACGCGTCGCCATTGCGACTTTACGCAATAGCGTACGACTCGCTCTACCTCCATAACGGTGTCAGAATTCACGAGCATACGAACTAACGCCCACTCTTTTGGTTAACTATTCGCGAAACATTTTATTATTTGATTGACAAAACATTGAATGATCTATTAAATTATGATATATATATATTTGTTTATCAGACAGTAGAATAAGTGACTGCACAATTTTTAATAAAATAGAGAGTTTCTTCTCCGGTCAAATGAACATCATTTTGGAAACAGCAGGAATTTTTCAAAAGTCGTTTTAATTCCTTACATCGCATACAAAATTCTTTAAGCAATTGCTCATATTTACAATCCTTGAATAATAAGCTCAAATTGCCAACATGTTATATCAATACATAGTAAAATCTTTTTGGTTTTATATTTAAAGACTATAAATTACTTGTCACAAAAAGAATCATGGAAACACTACTTACATAAAACCAACTAATTCTGCTTTTTATTCAGAAATTTGAAACGTTATTTGAATAAAAACAATTGGAAACATAAAAACGTACCCATTTAACAGAAAAAATGGAACTAAACAAATAATAGCTTTACGATACAAACAAATTCGTGTCTAATCAGCTTGCAATGACGTAAAAGCGTCACAATGTATGAAAAAGAGCGTGGCGCTGTATATACAGAGACGTTTAAGAAACTATACGCGTAAATCTGAATTGAATCTTTATGCAAGTACATAAGGTACACAATTTAAGTACAATTTAAAATAAGTACACGTGTTTAATGAACGCACCATCCTCCGACCGATAGTCATGGCATCGTTGTCGTAACAACGAGGAACATTTCAAAACATTATGTCTTTAGAAGAAGCGAAAGTCTCAACGAATACAGCGCATGCTCGAGAACGCTAATCACCAAACCATTTAGCTGGACTGCCATAATGACCAGCGTGCGTTTTCGCAAGTGAAGAAAAATAAATGCCTACACTAAGAACCTTACATGGTAAGTGGTACTTGATAACAAAAAAAAACATTAAACAATAAATAACCTCAAACGTTTTGAAGTCTGGCAACCCTTCTGCGATAACGTCACACGCCGTTACGACAATCGAGCTGATATACAAATCAATTCGAAGCCTCTCTCTAATCAATTGTTTAAAATGTTTCCTATTCCATGCAAATTTTCGTTATTTAAACCACACGAACGTCCAAATAAAATAAAAACCAAAAGCTATTTTCCCAACTCATGCCAAGAACTCACCTTATATTATTGTTAGCTAACATATACCTAAAATATTCAATGTATAAATCCCGAAAGCCTATCACCAACTACTATCCTATTAATTTTAAAAGTTTTCAAACAGCTATATCACAACTAACGGTCTATCTACGCCTGAAATATTTGTAAAATACAGTAAGCTTTAGTTTTACTATTAGATAGCAGCTAAAGCCGTCGAACAGTCTCAAGGCATGCAACAACCGTCTATGTCTTATTATTTAACCCCGTGTACAAAATAAGCCATGTACTTCACGTGTAAGTACGCACCTCTGGAATGTCTGTCGTTTCACGTAGTTGTCGCGGACGAACTCCACGATCTGCTTTTGCGTTTTGCCGCTATACCTGGAAATGCACATTTACGACGAATTAGATAATTTAATCTCATTAACTCAAATCCCCTCTTTCAAGTTCAAAGCTGCTCAGCGAATTAAGATGAGACCTCAGTGTTTCAGCTCGATTTATAACAAGGTAAATTATAACAGATAAAAAAATCACCTGACTTGCTAATTTATGAGCAAAATGGAAAATGGTAATGCTAAAAAGCATTAATTATTTTTATCTTATGCACAGTTCAAGGAAATTAAAAAAAATTATATATGTCGATAAAACAAATTAGACTAGCTTAAAAAAATAGACAGAGCGCTGCGGACATGTTAAGTGACGTTAGAAATCAATCTAAAAGCTTCACAAATAATTTGATACCGACACATATTGTTGTATGATGTACATGTACTCGTATACAATGAGTGTAGCAGTGGGCGTTGAAAAGTTGAGCATGGTTTCGGGTCACTCGAAACGTACGTAATTCTCCGTCTGTTCAGTCCGTTTTATGTTGTGTTGTGTGTGAAGAAGGAGCAGAACAAGAAGCCTTAAATCTGTTGGTGTGAGCAAGAGATAGAGAAGCAAGCAGATACCGGAAGGAGGAGCCGCACAAGAAGTCGTGTTTCCGTTGGTGTGAGCAAAAGATAGAGAAGCGAGCAGGTACCGGAAGGAGGAGCCGCACAAGAATCCGTGGTTCTGTTGGTGTGAGCAAGAGACAGAGAAGCGTGCAGGTACCGGAAGGAGGAGCCGCACAAGAATCCGTGCTTCTGTTGGTGTGAGCAAGAGATAGAGAAGCGTGCAGGTACCGGAAGGAGGAGCCGCACAAGAATCCGTGGTTCTGTTGGTGTGAGCAAGAGATAGAGAAGCGTGCAGGTACCGGAAGGAGGAGCCGCACAAGAATCCGTGGTTCTGTTGGTGTGAGCAAGAGATAGAGAAGCGAGCTGGTACCGGAAGGAGGAGCCGCACAAGAATCCGTGGTTCTGTTGGTGTGAGCAAGAGATAGAGAAGCGAGCAGGTACCGGAAGGAGGAGCCGCACAAGAATCCGTAGTTCTGTTGGTGTGAGCAAGAGATAGAGAAGCGAGCAGGTACCGGAAGGAGGAGCCGCACAAGAATCCGTGGTTCTGTTGGTGTGAGCAAGAGATAGAGAAGCGAGCAGGTACCGGAAGGAGGAGCCGCACAAGAAGTCGTGCTTCTGTTAGTGTGAGCAAGAGATAGAGAAGCGAGCAGGTACCGGAAGGAGGAGCCGCACAAGAATCCGTGGTTCTGTTGGTGTGAGCAAAAGATAGAGAAGCGAGCAGGTACCGGAAGGAGGAGCCGCACAAGAATCCGTGGTTCTGTTGGTGTGAGCAAGAGATAGTGAAGCAAGCAGGTACCGGAAGGTGGAGCCGCACAAGAATCCGTGCTTCTGTTGGTGTGAGCAAGAGATAGAGTAAGCAGGTACCAGAAGGAAGAGCCGCACAAGAATCCGTGGTTCTGTTGGTGTGAGCAAGAGATAGAGAAGCGAGCAGGTACCGGAAGGAGGAGCCGCACAAGAATCCGTGCTTCTGTTGGTGTGAGCAAGAGATAGAGAAGCGAGCAGGTACCGGAAGGAGGAGCCGCACAAGAATCCGTGGTTCTGTTGGTGTGAGCAAGAGATAGAGAAGCGAGCAGGTACCGGAAGGAGGAGCCGCACAAGAATCCGTGGTTCTGTTGGTGTGAGCAAGAGATAGAGAAGCGAGCAGGTACCGGAAGGAGGAGCCGCACAAGAATCCGTGGTTCTGTTGGTGTGAGCAAGAGATAGAGAAGCGTGCAGGTACCGGAAGGAGGAGCCGCACAAGAATCCGTGGTTCTGTTAGTGTGAGCAAGAGATAGAGAAGCGAGCAGGTACCGGAAGGAGGAGCCGCACAAGAATCCGTGGTTCGGTTGGTGTGAGCAAGAGATAGAGAAGCGAGCAGGTACCGGAAGGAGGAGCCGCACAAGAATCCGTGGTTCTGTTGGTGTGAGCAAGAGATAGAGAAGCGTGCAGGTACCGGAAGGAGGAGCCGCACAAGAATCCGTGGTTCTGTTAGTGTGAGCAAGAGATAGAGAAGCGAGCAGGTACCGGAAGGAGGAGCCGCACAAGAAACCGTGGTTCTGTTGGTGTGAGCAAGAGATAGAGAAGCGAGCAGGTACCGGAAGGAGGAGCCGCACAAGAAGTCGTGCTTCTGTTAGTGTGAGCAAGAGATAGAGAAGCGAGCAGGTACCGGAAGGAGGAGCCGCACAAGAATCCGTGGTTCCGTTGGTGTGAGCAAGAGATAGAGAAGCGAGCATGTACCGGAAGGAGGAGCCGCACAAGAATCCGTGGTTCTGTTAGTGTGAGCAAGAGATAGAGAAGCGAGCAGGTACCGGAAGGAGGAGCCGCACAAGAATCCGTGGTTCTGTTGGTGTGAGCAAAAGATAGAGAAGCGAGCAGGTACCGGAAGGAGAAGCCGCACAAGAATCCGTGGTTCTGTATGGTGTGAGCAAGAGATAGTGAAGCAAGCAGGTACCGGAAGGAGGAGCCGCACAAGAATCTGTGCTTCTGTTGGTGTGAGCAAGATAGAGTAGCGAGCAGGTACCGGAAGGAGGAGCCGCACAAGAATCCGTGGTTCTGTTGGTGTGAGCAAGAGATAGTGAAGCAAGCAAGTACCGGAAGGAGGAGCCGCACAAGAATCCGTGGTTCTGTTGGTGTGAGCAAAAGATAGAGAAGCGAGCAGGTACCGGAAGGAGGAGCCGCACAAGAATCCGTGGTTCTGTTGGTGTGAGCAAGAGATAGTGAAGCAAGCAGGTACCGGAAGGAGGAGCCGCACAAGAATCCGTGCTTCTGTTGGTGTGAGCAAGAGATAGAGAAGCGAGCAGGTACCGGAAGGAGGGAGCCGCACAAGAATCCGTGGTTCTGTTAGTGTGAGCAAAAGATAGAGAACGAGCAGGTACCGGAAGGAGGAGCCGCACAAGAATCCGTGGTTCTGTTGGTGTGAGCAAGAGATAGTGAAGCAAGCAGGTACCGGAAGGAGGAGCCGCACAAGAATCCGTGGTTCTGTTGGTGTGAGCAAGAGATAGAGAAGCGAGCATGTACCGGAAGGAGGAGCCGCACAAGAATCCGTGGTTCTGTTGGTGTGAGCAAGAGATAGAGAAGCGAGCAGGTACCGAAAGGAGGAGCCGCACAAGAATCCGTGGTTCTGTTGGTGTGAGCAAGAGATAGTGAAGCAAGCAGGTACCGGAAGGGGGAGCCGCACAAGAATCCGTGCTTCTGTTGGTGTGAGCAAGAGATAGAGAAGCGAGCAGGTACCGGAAGGAGGAGCCGCACAAGAATCCGTGGTTCTGTTGGTGTGAGCAAAAGATAGAGAACGAGCAGGTACCGGAAGGAGGAGCCGCACAAGAATCCGTGGTTCTGTTGGTGTGAGCAAGAGATAGTGAAGCAAGCAGGTACCGGAAGGTGGAGCCGCACAAGAATCCGTGCTTCTGTTGGTGTGAGCAAGAGATAGAGAAGCGAGCAGGTACCGGAAGGAGGAGCCGCGCGACAGCACCCTGGGCTTGTGGCGCGGCGGCCGCGGCACGCTGGAGCAGCGGAAGAAGCCGTGGTTCTCCACGCACTTCTTCCAGAAGTTCTTGCACTCGTTGCGGCCCTCGAACAGGAACTCCACCACGTCGCGGTAGTGGCCCTGCACCCACACAACTCGTAAACATAAATTTATGTATACAGGCTGTCCCAGTATGAATGTCATGCCGGAAACGGGCGATAAGCCATGATAGTTATCAGAAAAATATTATTTTATATAATATAAATAATAGATATTAAAAAAAATTGAGCAAATCTATAGTCTTTAAACTCCCTACATATCTTTCTTTTTAATTATGTAATCCTGAATAATGTTTCCGTAAGTAGTTGCCTAAAATTTGAATCCAACTGCTCCAGCTTGGAAGCAAAATGTCACTTTTAGTCCAATTAAGTATTCTAAGTTAATACTTCGACCAATTTTAATAGACTGTACTGAAAAAAAAAAGAACTACGCTAGTTTAGCCAGTAATTTTAAAAGTTAGCGCATTTGATAAGGATTCAAAAATGGTATGACACTTGCTAAATTATTTCTCGAAATCTCAATTTTGAACAAATTTTTATTGCTGAAATCATTCTAGTATTGTAGGCTTTCCTCAAGATCGTAAATCTGAAAGAGTTTAAGTGGGAGCCCATTCCCACTTATGGCGTGTTGCGCCCGACAAAATCAGTTGCTCTAGTGGCAGAATATTTTATGTGAAGCTATTCACACTTATCCAACATCGTATTTTCTCTACGTCCGAAAAAAATAGCGCAGCGCAGTGTACGAGCTGTATTGAAGTTCGTTTTTATACTAGATGCTGTATTTCCTGGTTGTATAAAGGATGTATAAGCGCTAATATAGATCTTATAAGTAAAAAATTTACACAAATTATACAGCTTTACAAGCATAAAAGAGGCTGTAAAACAGCTGTTATTTGGGGATCAAGGAAATTATTACACTACAGATATTATCTTATAAGTTACTTTAAAAGATAAACCTTCTACATTAAGTTTTGAACGAAATTTCAAATGAATATAAGACAAAAAGAATTTTGTTTTCGTTGCCTAGATTGTATTTATACACTTTATTGAATGATGGCGATATTTAATGTCAGAGTAAGAAAAAATATTTAACATAATATTAATATTATACTCGGATTGGAGTCGAGTTTTGATAGTGATAATTTCTGAATTTTGAATTGCACAATTAGATTTACAGTAGACTTGTATATGTTTTCTATCAAAAAATTGCTGCGCCAGAAAATAACCAAATAATATAAGGATAAAATACTAAATATCGGTTGTATAGGTTAGAATAAAAATATATCAAATTAATAGATATGAAGGCACATTGGGTGGTGATCATTAATTAAACTGAAAATAATGGTATAGGCTAATAAAACTAATGTCTATTATTTCTAAAATTATATTTCAAATTTTGTTTTTATGGGTCCTAAAATGGCAACAATATGCTAAACAGCCTACATGGTATTTCGAGGGTCTTACAGTCTTAGTAGCTGTACTATGTATGTTATGGGTTCTATCATGCAGCCATTGGTTTGTAATCAGTTTTATAATTGACTATTTTTATTATTTACGCTGTATAGCAGTTTTTTTTTCTTCAACAAAGCATATAATTATTTTTAGAGATGCGTATAATAGATTAAAAATTTTGTCTTAGGAACAGTGTTGGATAAGTTTTATTTACATTTAACACGATCTTCTAACTGCACCAAATACTTTATCTTTTTTCCACATGTTGGCAACAACATAAACACACAAGGCATGCAACGCATATCCTATCACTTATACACAGATTTATTGTACAAAGGCTGTTATTTATTTTTTTAGTTTTATATTACCCTCATAGACAGAAGTAATAAAACTACTGTATTTACGTACTGTAATTACGCCATAAAAATAAGTTTTAGATGGGAGTTTGTATACCCCATTGTTCAGAAATAAGATATATTGGAGTGATACTATAATAACAGAGAGCCGTATAAGCAAGTGACAGAATGAAAAAATTACAACAAACAGCTTAAATACAGCTTTAATGATAAAATCAGATTCAAGTGTTACAAAATACTTAAAATTGTATACTAGAGTTTTCATATTCTAATTAAGGAAGTAGTCCTTGAACGTGGAAGTCTGTAATAGAACACCCACATTGATATTTTCTAGTCACACATACGCATCGCGCAATGTAAGTATACGCACCCTGGACATGAATAAATTATTTTTGGTGCTTCGCACAAGCTACATATTCATAACGTGTTCGATGAATGTTCATGAATGTCACAGAAAACTCCTTTTATGTAGCCATTTCAATTTATTCGGTGCCATTTGCTTGTCCGCGGGCTCGTACTGAATAGCCCACGACCAAGGGTGGGGTCAGAGTGTTCGCTTTCTTAGTATTATGTTAACTATTATTTTTTATTTATTAGGATTTATGAATAAATTTAAAATATTATCAATGTTTTGTGTAATATGGAAAATGTGCGTTTCATAGATAATCTATTATTAAAAAATAAAGTTTAATACATATTAAAACAATTATAGTTGCCGACACGAGTCGTGAGCACAGATAAACTGTGGTGGGAGGTAGGTACACTGTCGGGCAAAATTATTAGGTACCTTTATTATTTCAATTCGTAATTGTATATTTTCGCCCACTTTTATTAACTCGAACACATCAACTTTTACTTTGATACAGTATTGTTGCAGATATTCGTGTCCATTATTTTATTATCTACTATAAAGTATTTAATGTATACCTGTGGTTGTGTGGTGGTTAGAATTGATTATTTTATTAAGAAGAAGGAAGAGGTGATATGCCTTCCATAAAATCTGGTGTTGCGGTGCGCCGTACAGTAGCTACTGAGTCATTACTCACCTCAGCAGTCTGTTTATATACGTCTATGATGTTTTTCGCAGTACCTAATTTTTTTCATGTAACTAAACACCGAATAGACCATTTGTCGGGATTGTCTATTTAACACCGAAATCTTCCTTCTCTGCATATTTAGACCAAAATCTGAACACTCAAATTATAACAACAAAAATAATTAAAAACAAGAAATAACAAAAACAATTAATAACAAGGAATACATTAACAACAATTAACAACGAGGTAACAAAAACAATTAACGAAAATAAACTAATTAAAAAAGTTATCACTAAAATTATTGCTCTGAAGTGTACGGAAACCGAATGAAACGTTCGAAACCAATAGACTACGAGAATTGACTGATGAACCAATCACGTTGAACGTCAGCGTGCTCAACGTCGTATCGACCAATAAAAAGTATGCTCACGACTTATGTCGGCAATTATACAGTAGTTTGAACAATTTATAAAGTATGCAACAAACAACCAGTTGGTCATTTTAGGTACGTATAGGTGTACGTACACATAGGCATGGCAATTATTATAGTGAATTTTTTGTTGGTTGCTACAGATGGAATTTTAGCTTTTCTAATCAGGTAACTTACTAAATTTAATATTTTTAAAAATGTTATTTGCATCTGAACTAACCGGCACGTGCCGTACCTACGGCCGCTGTGAGTTGTCTGACGCGACCGCTACAGCATTTTTTATAGTGAGCCGCTGCGAGCGCATCGCAAATGTTTTTGTTTGAATAAATTTTTTTATTATTATATTCAAACCAAAACCTTGGGGGAGTCTAGATATAAATCTAGATCCAGTTATTCCTTAAATTTAAAAATGAAAGAAATAATAACGAAAATATTTTTTATAATGTGCTGGCAGTTTATGAAATCTCCATATCCCTTCTTGAATACCTAATAATATTTAATAGGACCACATTTATAGCATTGACACATCAACATATACATTAGATTTTTGGACAAAAACAGAGGCTTTTCATTTACAACGTAATCCGGAGTTAGGGCATGTAATAATTGTCTGTGTCTTTCTATTGGAAGGTACATGTTTGTGTGTTTGTTATACATATCACATCTTTAACCCTTTGACCAAAATTAAACGGCGCCACATGTCAGTAACTGAAACAGTGTCATTTACGCTATCACGAAAGTGCTGCCAGTATAAAAAATTTGCCTTTTCATTAACCTATGATATTCTCGAATTCTCCTCCAGCTTACTTAGATTTTCTGGAGTGGGATTTCGACAAAAATTTACTAAAGCTAACCTGTGTTGTGCTATAACTTTGGATATTACCGGAGACCAATATTTTTAAGGCTTAAATTGGGATTGATGCATAAAATAAATATTTATTATAAAGAGGGATATAGTTATCTGGTGATTTGTTAATTTGACTAAGAAATAAATAATACATTTCTTGTCACATTTCAAACAACAAAAAAGATTTCGGAAAGTCCCTTCTAATAACCAAACCAGTTGGCTTTTTTAATGTTCCATTTCTTTACCTTGCAAAAGTTATTAAGAATATCTACAAGCGTATTAAGTACTAAATTATCAGTACCTAAAGTTTCGTTACTCACTTATCAATTAAATTCGAACCCTACGTCCATAGAAACAAAAGATACATGAGGTAAAGATTTTTGTACAATAACCTTTTATAGCCTGGTGGTCGTGCCATTATGGAGTGACACAACCGTTTTCCATAGCGGTATCCCTGATTTGTATGCCTCGTATTTCAGTTCGCGTCGACCAATCTAAGTGATGTCAGTTAAAGTCACTCGCAATTATTGTTTTCGTTCTAAAATATGAAAATAATTGATTCCAGTCTGCTGGTACGGTACGCGCAGAAGATGGACAGGTTAACTCAGACCTAAGAATTTGTGCATTCCATAGTAATATTTTAATCTTAACATGTTGATTTGTCTTATCCATTATATAGATTAATAACACTCTCTAACATCCCTTAGTAGAATATTTATAAGATTTTTTTTTAATTTATCAACAGCAACTTTAAACACTAATATATGCATTTTTCTTCAAATGTGTCTCCCGACATAATAATATTTTTAGCCGTAATAGTATTTTTTTTAGTTCTAATTTATGTAATAACTCGTTAATTCCGATTCTGTATTTCTTCTTTAAGTAGTCCTGTCGTTTCTTCAATTATTGAATCTTCATTGTGGCTTTTTGTGATAAATTAGTGTTTTGTTTTTAATGTTT